GTGCTTGACTGGCCAGAAAACTCACCAGACCTGAACCCCATAGAGAATTTATGGGGTACTATCAAGAGGAAAATGAGAAATGAAAAACAAAATAATGCAGATGAGCTGAAGGCCACTGTCAAAGAAACCTGGGCTTCCATACCACCTCAGCAGTGCCACAGACTGACCACCTCCATGCCACGCCGAATTGAGGCAGTAATTAAAGCAAAAGGAGCCCCTACCAAGTACTGAGTACATATACAGTAAATGAACATACTTTCCAGAAGGCCAACAATTCACTAAAAATGTTTTTTATAGGTCTTATGAGGTATTCTAATTTATTGAGATTGTGAATTGGTGGGTTTTTGTTAAATGTGGGCCAAAATCATCACAATTAAAAGACCCAACGGCTTAAACCACTTCAGTCTGTGTGTGTACTGAATTTATATAATACACGAGTTTCATTATTTGAGTTGAATTACTGAAATAAATAGACTTTTCCACAATACTCTAATTTATTGAGCTGCACCTTTATGTAGAACCACTTCAGCAAAAGAAAAATACTATTCTCGGATTTAACAGGTACGTATGTCAGTGTTTAACTCCCTTCACAGACATAGTAAATGCTACTTTAATTCAGTTCAATTCAGCTTTATTGGTATAATGCCAAATCACAACAAAAGTCATCTCAGGACACTTTACAAAGTAAGGTCTAGATGTTTCCATTAGTATTATTGTAGAGGACAAACCCAATAAATCTCCCTTGAGCAGCACTTGGCGACAGTGGGGAGGAAAAACTCCCTTAATGGAAAAACCTCTGACAGACCCCGGCTCTTGGTGGGCGGCCTTCTGCCTCGACTGGTTGGGTTGAATGGATAGAGGAGAGAGAAAAGAAAAGACTCATTCATCAGAGACGTAGAGCTCCAGAGCCCAGGCTACCCGCAGAAAGGTATGGGGAGAGCGAGGACACAAAGTTAATGACATGTAGTGGTGATATATAGATGCATGGAGGGGGATAAAAGACGAGAGCAAAGGAACTCAGAGATGCATGGGTGGTGCCCAGCAGCCTAGGCCTATAGCAGCATAACTAAGGGAAGGCTCAGGGTCACCAGAACCAGCCCTAACTATAACAGCACATATTGCATCACTGCTGGAGGTGGCAACCTTGACTGAAGTCAGGTAACTGAATTGGCAACAGACTTATCAATACCAAGCTTAACAAACTGTGCAACACATGAACCACTTGATTCCAATAACATTTTAACTCTGTTACATGTAAAAGTCCTGCATTGCTACTTAAGTAAAAGTACAAAAGTATTAGCATAAAATATACCTAAAGTACCAAAAGTAAAGGTCCTCATTATGCAGAATGGCACAGTTCACATTAATGTATATCATATTACCATCTATCTATCTATCTATCTATCTATCCATCCATCGATTATAGTGAGTTGTTAGGTGGTGAACAGCAGGCTGATTTGCCCATTCCTGTTGTTGCGGGGTGGGAGTCTCCAGCTTTACAGGAAGCACCACAGGATGTCCTTTTCCTCATTCCTCAAGGATAGAATAAAATGACTCTGTGTATGTGTTTTTGTAAAATCAATGGGTAATATGTTTCCAATGTGTTGGTACTGTTTTTCTCTATCAGCTGCTTTTTCCTTCTGTTACAGTGACGTGTCAGACAGATGTCCAGAACATGGAAGCATGACCCAAAGTTCACAATCAATATTAGCAATGCTGAAGTCAAGTCTAGTCCAATCAGTATTTGATATCTTTTCTATATTTTATTTAATAAAGTCTGACTATTGATTACTTAGTTACTGTACAACTATACACTGCTGCACCAGTTGTCATAGTAATGTAAATTTTTCAGAATCAGAATATGCTTTATTGGTCAGGTACACAAGGAATGGCTCTCAATGTGCATGTGCAATGTGCTTCCATAAGGCTATGGGACAAATATCACGCCATAATTCAAAATTGGAAAAAAAAAAGCTTGAGTTGAATGAAAGCTTAGCTGGTTTATCAGAGGAGCTGAAAAGGATTTTCTGCAACCACAATATCCCAGTCAACTTTAAGCCAGGGAACACCCTGCGGCAAAGACTGGTCCACCCGAAGGACAAAACACCCAGACATAAACAGAGTGATGTGTATGCAATTACATGTAGCCAGGAGTGTAACGACTTCTACACTGGGGAAACAAAACAGCTGCTGCACAAGTGCATGGCCCAACACAGGAGGGCCAACTCCAGTGGACCAGAGTCAGCAGTCCACCTCCACCTGAAGGACAAAGGACATTCTTTTGAGGACAGTGAAGTCCAGATCCTCTCCAAAGAACATTGCTGGTTTGAGAGAGGAGTTAAGGAAGCTATTTTTATAAAAATAGAACACCCCTCACTAAATAGGGGTGGTGGACTAAGACACAACTTGCCATCCATCTACAATTCTGTTTTGAGATCTCTGTCCAAACATGCCCACCCTAATTCACACCAGAACAATATGTGTTTGTACACATGTGAGGGTTCAAATACAGGTAACGACGCTCACCGATACTGGGCTTTAAGTTTCACATCGATGGACAATGTTGGCCATCAAAGGACTGAAACACCGCCCAGTGGGAAAAATACCTCCTGCTCACCACTAGCCAGAAGTGATGAAGCCTCTTGGATGAGAGGTGAAATGTCTTCTAACTAAAACAACGTCCAGATGCTTTCTTCTAAGTTTTTTCAGCATACTCTGGATGACTGAGAATTTGCATGGAAATGAATCAAGTACCAATAAAATACTGTATACTAATTTTAGAGGAAAGGTGAAATTGATGCTTAGCATTACTTGGGATAAAGTACTGAAAAACAAAACTGAAGTTTAGGATAAATGGTCTTTACAGCCTTGTTCTTATTGTCTAATTAAAGAGCAAAAAGGGAAAATAGCAGCCTTTATATGCAGTTGGAACTTTAATTAAAAACTACTATAATATATTATAAACTAGACAGCACTCAGAGAGTGCAACCTCCACCAAGGGCAACTCAGTTTCCTCATAATGCCATAAAAGCAATATCCCCATGATAGTTTGACCCTCAAAATGTGATTGCTTGACCATGAAAACCTACTGCTGGGATTTGGAATGATGCTGATATCATTATTAGTTTGAATGTTATTCAAGAAAAATGATAGACATGACAGATATTCAGTCATTGGTTTAGGGGTAAAACGGGTACTTCAGTGAGTGGACTGTAGGAAAAGAGGTGAAGATGCAGCTGTTTGATAAACTGCTCATATGGACTCTGTTACTGACTGATTGGTGCACTGTGGAGTGATCCTTCACACCCTGTGTTCTCCCTTGGTTCAGCA